TCTGCCATCTCATCGAGGCCTGTTTGACCATTACCTGCGGCAGCGTTAAGTCTGTCAAACAATTGAGTCGTTTCTTGCCCTCCGTCTTTGTAGCCTGGCATCGGTTTGTTGAGTCGACCACTCAAAGTGATCCAATTCTGAATGAGCTTATCACTGAGAAATTGAGCGCTTTCCTGACTTTCGATCACGGTTCGAAACTTCTCGGATTTGTTTAAAAGGTCGAGTATGAATAGACAGTTTGGATAACGAATGAAGACGGCATATTGCGGATCGTGAAAGTACTTGAGGTAATTCAGGTAGCTTGAGAAAGAAAGGTGAACTACAGGTTAGTCATAACAAAGTAAACAGAATAAGCAAGGAACGCAGGTTCAACTAAACTTGACCATTGGCTCGGATGCGAGAATACCCTTCAAGGTTAATTCCTGAACGAAATGAGGGTTAGCAAGCGATTGAACAAACTATTGACATAAACATTTATGTAGATGGTGGAGAATGGCAGTAGACCGAAACATCAGTCAATACCACTGCTCAAGGTTTCGGATCCAGAAAAGCTCTCTTCAGCAATGCTCACTTCTAGGTCCTCTTCAAATCGTGTTTGATTAGCGTCTTTAAAATCCCGAAGCCGTTGGTCGTCATCGGCTTCAGTTAGAGAAGTGTTGGTTGGATCGGAAGGTGGCATTACGGATGCTGAGCATTGGGACTGGGAAGTCGAGAGCAACTTGAAAGTGTGGACTTGACTCTAAATTTTAAAAGCAACCACCGTGGCCCCGATGCTATTTGGATTGCGAGCCCGGGGCCGAGAGTAACTCACCACAGAAGGGTTTTGAGCCCAAAAACTGTCTTGCCTGGCCTCAGAATGGTCAGGCCAAAAGGCGGCCTGAGGACCAACCCGTCGCCTGTAGGTCATCAATAGGTGGGCTACAGCTGGCTGAACCAAGGGTGTCACTATACAGTTGTCTCTGAAATAACCCATACCTTTTTATGGAACCCAAAAGGTATGGGTTTTCATAGAGTATGTGTTATCACAATGGTCTTCTGGGCTAAAAAGTGAAAATTATGGACCAAAAAAAGCATGGGTTAGGCCAGAGTATGTGTTACAAGGGATATGGGTTATTTCAGAGTTGACTGTACTATATGTTACTATACTGGCCGCAATACTGGTAAAGAATGTAGAGGGACAGAGCAGGAAGATGAATGCTAATGAACTAGTGTCAGCAATAGTCTACCAAGACAAATAAAGAATTGTGAAAATTGCATGAAGAGGAACAAGGTTCTAACCTAATGGACTAGCATCAGTAATAGTCTACCAAGCCAAACAAAGATTTGTGACCATAGAAAGAGACGCAAGTGGAGGAAAACATTGGAGTATTCATTTGAAACAAGTTTTGACAAGGTGTTACAAAAATTATGCTGAATGATTAGAAAAAACCAGTCTGAGCTAAAACATGTTCCTGTTACACCAATAAACATAACCCAGAAATGAAGTCTACCTAGAGATTCACTATAAGTTAGTCCTATCATCTTGGGTACTCAGTGATAAAATCTGGCTAGGAGCCTAAACCAAAAACAGGTGAGTGAGGCTTGATTGCCACACCATCTACAATGCTATATACTCCATCTTAGCCTTAACCCTCAACCTTTTAGAGGTTTGCAATTCTTGATTCATGCATATGCTCTTCTCATGCATTTGAAAAACAATGTTACCAAGTCATTTTGTAAAAATATCAGCTTTCTAATTTGGTCTGTCTACCCATTCTATTTTCAAATTACCATCAGAGATCTAGTCATTCATGTGGTGGAACTCACTGGCTACATGATTTCATTGTGTGGTGAGGTGTAAGTCTTGAGATACTTTGATAGCGGCAGTGTTGTTGCATTTTAAAGT